TGAGAAGTCTAAATTGATCAAACATAATGCTCAACTCACTGTCTGCCGCTGCCTCTTGCTCGTTCCTTTAAAAAACAAAAACTTGAATTTAACAAACATAAAATGTTCCAAACATATTTCTAAATTAACTTAACAAAGAAACAAAAAGAAATATGACCACTTTGCCATTAAAAACCAAAACTGAACTATTTTAATAGCTGTGTAATGGGGAAGAGAGAGAGAGAAAAGTCACGGTATCCAGTCGGACTCGGGCCGAGAATTCTCATAAAGCTGTTGGACAAGGGCCGTGCAGGGCTCTATTCGTTCCCTCGTTCCCTCATAAAATGTGAGTATTCGCCCTTACAAAAAAGAATGGCATGTTGCTATGTGGTTTTTAGGGTTTTCTTGCTGTTGGTTGCTTAAAGATGTGTTAAATTGTCATGTCTTTGCTGTTGGTTGCTTATAAAGACCCTTAAACCTTTGAAACAATCCCTAACAATAATTATGGTGATTTTTTTTTTGTAAGGATCGCCTCTAAGGAACTGTTTTCTTTGGCTTTATTGGCTGCATGTGGGTTTGTTCTGTGTGTCTTTCATTAGGTCATAGTGTTTATGCAGTATTATGATACTTATTATGAATTTATATTATTATACTTTAATGCAGTGGATGTTTCTAAGAGTCAACCAAGCATTAAAGTGATTCTCCCTTCACTACTGCTGTACTGAAAGCATCGAGGGAAGATTTCAAAGGAAGAATGTCTGTCCGAAGGGTAAATTCTTCATCCTAATACCCACATTTGTCAGCAAAATCCCCTTGATATTATACCCCACAGCATCCATATGAAGTGTTTCAGCTCCAGTCGTCCATGCAGTGATGAAAATAGCATCACTTTACTGGGAAAACAATTATCCTGTTGTTTTAAATGATCACAAACTAAACGGAGACTTCATAATGAGCGAAAGGGTCTCTCAGCTTTACAGCGAGATGTCATACATGCAAAAATAGATTTGCATCGACCGGCGTAACATTAAACGAACAACTCTCCTATTGAAGGTGGTGTTTTAGATTTCACGGTTACTAAACACGGTTTGCAGAGCGAGTGTGTGGTGTGTTTTGTCTCAAACTGAGTCATACTGATAAGGTCATTGAATCCCCTGAGCTTTATTAAACACTCTATTATATGCAATTTAATGCCAGTTAATTAGCAAGCGATTCAATATCGTGCAAATCGTGTTTCTTATAAATCCCCATGCAGATTCAGAATAATTATTATTTTTTTGAGTAAACAGGCTCCCCACGTTTACCACAGATTCATAAGACTGTGCTATTTGTTTGCATTGGCTTTCCAATAATACAGTTTACTGGATTCTTTCTCTTTTTTGAGACCGAATAGACTCTATTATGTGGTTTAACTCTGACTGACCTTGAACCGAAAGGTCTCGCAAGAGCCCTACTGCAGGGGTGGGAAATATAATAACAGCTAAAATTCATATCTGGGGAACCCGAGAAGCTCTGCTGTGCATTAAGGGAATTACAGATCATTCTGACTCTCTGTGAAACTCATTTCTGAAGCCAAACATATTGCGTAAACACCCGTGACCCTGTTGTCTGAGAGAACGCTCTAAACGAAGGTTTAAACAAACATCCTTTAAACCATTGGCACAACAAACACTTCTGCTGCACTACAAGATTTGCCGAGCCACAAGCGAGTTGATCCTTTCGACCTGTTTACATGCTAAAATCGCTAAAACACTAACAGCCGAGGCTTGCGTGGACTCAAATATTTTACCAATTTTCTCAATTTTCCACATGGCAGCGTTTTACCCACTTGAAGTTATTATTTTCTCATCTTCTAGCATTTGGAAAAATCTCTGTGCATTTGACTTTCAGATAGGAAACCAAAAAAATTGTCTCTGTGCATGTATCGTTAACCTATTTCTGTCAGGGGACAGCATGAAAATCACACATACAGACCAGTTATTTCACACAATGCAAAGAGCATCTCATCTCAAAGTTAACTAGAACTCTTTAAATTATTGTCTTCTAGTCATTTAAACCACATTGACCAGTGACAAAGTCCTTTTTGAGGTAAGCTGGTTCACTTGGTGGAAATGTAGTACTCAGTACAATTCCTATTGATCTGAATGGGGAAAGGTCAACATCTCCTGAACTTTAAGTTTACACTTGCAAAATCATTAGAACAGTCAGACATGACATACTTTTTGCTTTTGTAGCTTGCAGTAAATCACACTAAATCACTTTTTTCCTGTTAGTCCAAAACAATTCAAACACGTTATAGAAAGAAGAAAAAACAGTCAATGCTTTTGCCAAACAGATGAATGGCTCATCTAGGGGTCATTTGCAACATACGTAAAATGTTTTTATTCTATATTATTATGCACAAAAAAGCTAAACAAAAAATGTTACAAATTATTTAGAAACACACATTAAAATATTATATCTATTAAAATATAAATAATTAAGCGTTTTCCATGTTAAAAACATGTTTAAAGGGGTCAGTGCTAAAAATTCAATTAAAGGGTTCATATGATGCTGCTAAAAAGAACATTATTTGGTGTAATGAAATGTGTTAAAACATTATTTTCCACGTACTATATATTGTTTCTCCTCTATGTCCCGCCTTTCTGAAACGCGTTGATTTTTCCAAAGCTCATCGGTCTGAAAAGCGAGGTGTGCTGTGATTGGCCAGCTATCCAGTGTGTTGTGATTGGCCGAATACCTCAAGTGTGTGACGGAAATGTTACACCCCTTACCATACTGTGATGCCGTGTCCAGCTGGAGCGACGAGACAAAAACATTAAAACCTATTATAAACGAGGCATTTGTTGCATCCAGTGGGGACATAATTACGGATTATAATGACTTATACTGTCTTTTTACGCATTGGATTCGACGAAGGAGCGGCCGCCATAGCCGGCGGGATTGCGGCAACCACATGTGATGACCCTTGGCTGGACTCCACTTCGTCCACGGTGAAAGCCGATCCGGCGATCCACAGCGCGAAGTTGATGTATTTCCTCAGCGACCAGCACGGATCAGCTCCAGGCATGACGAAGCGGATATCGTCCTCTTTTGGAAGGCCAAACAAAGTACCTAAAACCTTACAGCTGCATGAGTTGTGACTGTCACGTTAGCCTGATGGGACCAACTCTACTTCTACTGTTAATAAGATTTTGGTAGGCTACTATTAGATGGATAGCCTAAATGTCCTAATTCAGATGGGCTACCTGTTTTTTTTTTTTTTAATGGTATATCAAAAAGTGTATATTTTTAAAATGTGATTGTTGGTACATTTTACCAGTTTTTACCATACTTTCAAAACAAAAATGAAAATAGGAAAAATATGCAATATGAAAATAATTGAAGACAAAATGTGTTTTACCTTTTTCAAAAGGTACATCTGGTAAAAGGGGGGTCGTCTTTTAATCAGGGTCGTCTTATATTCGGGCCAATACGGTAGTTTCGCTTTCACAACGAAGCACACAGCGCCTTCACGACATGGCGGCGGCGGCAGCAACAATACTACAGCGAGAATAAAAGTTATGCCTTCTTTCTTTGCGTGAACATTTGGGTGGCGTAATGCTAATCTTCCCACATCGTGACGTAGATATGTGGGGGCGTGTTAGAACGAGCCATTTTAGGTAGGCGTGGTTGACTCTTAACTTATATAAAGAATATCTCTTTGGATTTGAGACTTTAGTCTTTGTAACACTTCAAAGAGAAAGGAAACTTGAAATCACATCATATGACCCCTTTAAATTAAATTTAGACATTTAGCAGACGCGTTCATCCAAAGTGACTTACAAATAAGGACAAACATTAAATAAAAACATTATTTTGTGTATTTGGTGTAATGCAATTTGTTTACGCAGTTTAAGGTTAAAAAACACATTATTTTCCACATACTGTACATTATTGTTGCTCCTCTCTGCCCCACCTTTCTGAAATGATTCCTCGATTCTTACAAAGCTCATCGTTCTGAAAAGCACAGTGTGCTCTGATTGGCCAGCTATCCAGTGAGTTGTGATTGGCCGAATACCTCAAGCGTATGACGGAAATGCTGCGCCTCTTACCATATTTGGAATACAGGCTTCCATGGCGGCAGCAACAATACTACAACGAGAATAAAAGTTACACCTTCTTTCTTTGCGTATACATTTGGGTGGTGTTATGCAAATCTTCCAACACAGTGACGTAGATGGGGGTGTGTTTAAATTAGGCGTTTTAGGAAGGCGTGGATGAGTCTTAACTTTTAGAAAGAATATCTCTTTGGGTTTGAGACTTTAATCTTTGTGACTTTACGGATCTTATACTGTATATGCACGAACAGCTTGAAACACTCCAAAGATAAAGGAAAACATGAAATCGCGTCACATGACCCCTTTAAAAAATACAAAAAGCTGTGGAAAACTAAAGTCAAACTTTAGAGAAAGAAGAGGCTTTGAAGGGGCTCAAATGGTGCACATGGTGATTATTCGAGGAAAAAAGTGATTAATTTGCATGCAATTTATTTTTCATTTATTTACGATTTATTTCGCCTATTATTATAATAGGACAGATCAGAGCTGACAGGAAGTGAAGTGGGAGAGAGAGAGGGGGGTGGGATCAAGAAAGGTCCTCGAGTAGGGATTCGAACTTGAGACACCTGTAGCGCAATGGCACTTTATGTCGGCACGCTGCCTACAAGGCTATCGGCGCAAATTCGTTTATCTATTTAAATGTCTTTAGTGTGACACTGAATTTTCATAACAAAAAAAAAAGATACGAATAAAAGTCTTTCTCAAATAAATAAATAAATCTGAGAATGATCCTAAACTGAAAGGCGCTAATCTTTTCTTACAGCCACCAGTTTTCTCTTAATATATTTTTTCTACTTATGTGTCTGTTGTGTCAAACACATTAGAAATGCATTTTTTGGCATAGATTTGGCAGACAAAGGTATCTTCAATTTCACAATCTGGTATTTGCTTATAATCAAATGTAAAAAGTGAGACACTTGCCGATCGGAAGAACCAGGAAAAACGGAAGCCAACAAAGGACAAAGCATCCAACCACGATGCCCAGGGTCTTAGCGGCCTTCTTCTCTCGGGAGAACTTGAGCAGACGCAATGCGAAGTGTGTCCGGTTGCGCAAGGCCTCGTCTTCGGACACCGTCGTGTTCCCACGGTGTATCCGCAAAGTTACAGCCTCGGTGGTGTGATCGGACTTTTCCGTTTTCTGTCCGCTAATCAGACCTCGGGTCTCCCTCCTCGCGACCACGTACACGCGGCAATACATCGACAGAATCACCACTAGAGGGAGATAGAAGGACCCTAACGCAGAGAAAATGGCATAGCCGGGTTCTTCGGTTATCTTGCATATGGATTCGTCCTTCGGTGCTGGTTCCTTCCATCCAAAAAGAGGTCCGATTGAGATGGTAATGGACAGAGCCCACAAAACAATGAGTGCAAGCAATGCCCGTCGCTCCGTTACGATGGACGGGTATTGCAGAGGATAACTAACGCCGATATATCGGTCCACCGAAATCACACATAAGCTCATGATTGACGCAGTACAGCACAAGACGTCCATTGCCGCCCAAACGTCACAAAACGGGCGTCCGAAAATCCAACGACCCAACATTTCAAAGACCGTAGAAAATGGAAGAACCGTAGAGCTCAGCAAAAGATCCGCAACCGCCAAGTTCACAATGAAGTAATGTGTAACTGTGCGTAGATTACGATGACAAGCCACTGAGAGGATGACCAGGATGTTGCCCAGAACGCCAAAAATGATGAAGATTGCCAACACCATTCCCAGAACAACAGCCTTCGTGACGTTCAGCTCCGGGACGAGAACCTGGCTGCAGTTGCTACAGTTTTCGTGGAATGACTCTGGGGTCATGTTGTCTTTGAGGGGAATCATCTGTTCAAGATGTCCAGGCATTTAATAAAGGTCTGATTTTGGGGCGTCAGTTAGATTTGCACCATAATATTGGAATCTCTCCAAGAAAACAATGAAAACGGCACTATTGCATTGGCCGTGGTACAAGAACATTGGGGCATTTGCAGCATTGCAATGAGGGATGATGAATGTGATGAAATTTAACCTGTTGTGTCTCATTTCTCATTTCTCCTAGATGAGCTTTTAGTGATGTATGTTCGTGGAAAATAGCTGTGGGTGAAGGAATAAACAAGAGGAACTAAACATATTATGCTGTGGAGAACGTCAGATTCTTTTGTCATAAAGTCATAAATTCAAGGGTTGTTTTGACATGTTCATAACCATGTGCAGCTGCAACATCATACAGAACAATGAGAATGACACAAATGCCGTTGTTGCAATTGGTGTGATCTATTAAGTTACAGAAGAGGTTTGTCTGTAGTTTCCAGGCATTAGGTTTGATGCATGAGCGATCCGTTTTAGATATGCATCAATGCATCGACGTGCGAAGGTGTCAAAACGTTCTCCATCTCTCTTTGCACATTCATTAAGCACTGTTAATGTGTTCGTGGACTTTGTAAAACAAGAGCTTCCCGTCTTTTTGCGCGCATCTGCAGCGGTTGGAAACAGTCCACATGGTGCTGACGGTCACTTCAGAATCGGATTCGCATTGAAAGTCTGCATGGCGTTGGCTGACGTTGGCTGAGGTTGCAAAGCGGATAACAAGGACAAAGCTAAAAGCACTTTGGCATATGCTGAGGAGATATTTTTGGCTGAAGAGCAGTTCTCAGTGCGTCACACAATTTTTAGGCGAACGACTTCAATCAGGAGAGATCTGGTCGTAAAGCAGCCATGCTGGTTTGGTTTGAAGACTGATGAACCCTGAAAACAGACAGAGAAAATGGAGCTTTATCAGTGAAGTGGATTCATTTATCAGACAGGCAACTTTTAAACCACCGCTCATGCATTATAATGAAGTGTGCAATCGTTTGGCATAAAATTATGAGCCAGTTCCAGTGGATAATGATATATAGATTCATTAATTCATATTTCTCCGATAAAGGGCCCGCAAATGGATTTCTCTCCATGAGGGATCCTCAACAAAACAAATGCTTTTATTTATATATTTCTTCTGCAGTGATTCATTCGACACGTCAAACACAAAATCAAATGGGACAACAAAAATGAACAGTTGCTGTCTTATACACACAACTAAAATTATCTAATTTTCCCACAGAATAGATATTAAAATTCTACATTCCATCTATTCTAAGACAAATAATATTGAAAAAGTAGTCTAAATTTTTACGGTTAATTAGTGATTATATAGCCATACTCTAACATTCACAACTTTATTACTTTAATAACTTTAATACACCAGGCTTTTCGAACAACGCTATCAGTTTTAGCTTTGAGCCTAATCTCTCTGGTAATTCCCTGTCCTGCTTTTCTCTTGCTAATCCGTCTTCTGTTTCTGAGCTAATTTCAAAATCAAATTCTTCTTCCTGTCGACTTGACCCAGCTCCTACTTCTCTCCTGAAATGGTGTCATTCGGTCATTTCTCCACCTATCTCTCATTTCATAAATGCTTCTCTTGTCACTGCTTCTTTTCCTCGGTCACTTAAAGTTGCTGCAGTCACCCCAGTTCTCAAGAAACCCAATCTCGATCCCAAAGTTTTATCCAATTATCGTCCCATTTCAAATTGACCATTTATTGCTAAATTATTGGAGAGTACTGTAGCGTCCCAGCTTCAGTCTTTCCTAGTGGCAAATAATCTCTTTGACCCATTCCAGTCCGGCTTTCGTCCGCAACATAGTACTGAAACTGCCCTTGTAAAGGTAGTGAACGATTTATTACTCTCTCGCGACACTGGCTCTCTGTCTTTACTTCTGCTACTTGATCTCAGCTCTGCCTTCGATACAATCTCTCATGATTTGCTTATCTCTCGTCTTTCGGCTGTGGGTATATCTGTTACTGCTCTTTCCTGGCTCTCCTCATACCTATGTGATAGACAGTTTTACATCTCTGCTCGGGATTTTAGATCCCTACTGCCCCCCTGAAACAAGGTGTCCCCCAGGGTTCCGTTCTTGGGCCTTTGCTGTTTATTATTTATATTTTATCATTGGGTCAGATACTACAGCGTCATGGCTTTAGCTATAATTTTTATGCTGAAGACATTCAAATTTACACATCATGCAGGCCATCCCTATCCACCAAAATTGATATAATTTCTGTTTGCGTGCAGGATATAAAAACATGGTTTAACTCTAATTTTCTGAAACTTAATATGGATAAAACTGAGATCATCATTATTGGTACCCCATCACTTACCATCAAAGTTCCCGCTGACTTTACTTGCAATATCACTGGCACTCTAATTGTTCCATCTAGTATCGGTGTTACGTTTGACTCCTCTCTTTCATTTCAGTCTCATATTAACTCTTTCACTAAATCAGCTTTCTTTCATTTACAACGGATTGTCCAGCTCCGTCCTTTCATTAGTGCCAACGATGCAGAAACTCTCATCCATGCGTTTGTTTAATCTCGTCTCGATTACTGTAAAGCCCTTTTGAAAGGTTTACCAGCTACCTCCATTGCTAAATTACAGTATATTCAAAATTCAGCCGCTCCTATTCTCACTCGCACTAAGCATTCTGCCCACATCACCCCTATCCTGGCTGATCTGCATTGGCTATCAGTGGCCTATCGTATTAAGTTTAAAATTATCCTGCTTACTTTTAAAGCTTTGCATGGTCTGGCTCCTAACTATCTTCACAGTCTGCTCCTTCCCTATTCTACACCTCATTCATTGCGGTCCTCTGATTCTCACCTTCTTGCCGTCCCTCGGTATCACCTCTCTTCCATGGGCGGCAGATCATTTAGTGTTGCTGCCCCTAAATTATGGAACTCTCTTCCCAGATCACTCTGTCTTGCCAATAACCTGTCTGAATTTAAATCGCTGCTCAAAACTAATTTGTTTTCACAATGTTACCTTTCTTAAATTGACTTCTGTTTATTCTGTTTTATGTTGTCTTATCCATATATTACTCTCTGGATGTCTGATGTTCTCTTTACTTTACTTTCTGTATTATTGTTTGATTGTTTTTTAGAAGTTATCCTCACATTTCTGATGTTTATTGTAAAGTGTCCTTGAGCTCTGGAAAAGGCGGTATATAAATAAAACGTATTATTATTATTATTATTATTTATTGAAGCTGCAAAGACAGCTTGTTCAGAGGTACTTTTCACATAGAAGTCTTAAAGGTACAGTAACCTAAATCTGGGAGAGACTGGAAAATGGTCATGAAAATTCTTATATTAAAGACACGTATTTTTGTAGGCCAACCTAGCAAACTACAAATGGGGTATTACTGATGTATTTTATTTTGTAGAATAAACCGTGAAAATATCTTGAGCTTGTGTTCACCACAAATCTTATTTCAGGCATTTAACCAAAAACACATTGAATAAAAAAAAAAACACTGACTTCATTGAAAGCCAAACATTAACAGCACCTTGAGAACTTGATAGATGACGTGCCATATCACAGATTATTCTGAAAACGTGACAAACTGATGCATAAATAGAAAATAAAATGCAAACTGGTGCTATTATACTATATGAACTTTAATATAAATATTATTGCACATACTTTTGAAACAGTTTGTGCACATTATTTATTTTCATTTGCTGGTATAAAAAAGCAGAGAGAGTAAAAAGAGAGTAAAACAACCCAAAATAGCCTAGCAACCATTTGAAATGCCTTAGTAATCACATAGAAGCACCTTAGCAACCGCAAAGCAGCATCCAGCATAGTAACGCTCTGTCAAGCACTCTTATTTTCTTCAGAACACGTAAAGCCCGAGTTTCAGATTGTTTCTGGAAACCACAGATGTAGAAAATGACCTTTCACAGGGGTTTTAACGAGATCGTGTCCTGTGAGACTCTGGCCGGTTCTGAACGAAGCGAAACAGCAACAGATTTTTTTTGTACTTCAGAGTTGTGAAAAATGCACCCACTGGGCAAAAACACAAGGCTGCCTCAAAAAAAAAAAAAAATCAGAGAATGTTTTTATTTTTTGGCATTTTCATGCTCTCTAATTCCCACTTTAATCAAGCCAATTCTTGCTGCTTGCCATAAGACACAGAAAAAAGCTTAGTAAGTTAAGAAAACATATTTAATAACATTCAAATATCGCATGATTTCAGGCAAATCCCTCAGCTGCACAACAAAATCCCCCTTTTTTCGGTGCCTGTCGACAAAGACGTAGTATTGGTTTGTTTCTTTTGTGAGATTTCTGGCTTCCTGACCTTTAGAAATTAAAATCTTCTGTTCTGTTCTGTCATTTTTCTACCTTAACCAATGTTCTGCCAAACGGCATCAGCAGAATCAGACAGACAGGAAAATTAATCTTTTTTGCCGTCTGTTGCTTCTCTATTTATAATGATGACAGAATAAATTCAACTGTGCAAGGCTGTGACAGTGAGTCTGCACACATACAGGAAACCACTTGATCATAAACCATACACACGCTTCATTTTCAACTGATCTTTTTTCATTACACAATGATCTTTCTAGATTGACACTAATTGCTTCTAATGAGATCGCCTACCATCCGTTTGTGACTCGATCAATTAACTTTGAGAGGAGAAATGCACGCAAGCTTAACACTCCTACTCAGACGCTCTCACGTTTCTGACATTAGTAGGAATATTGATCTGATTTCCAGCTTAATGAGGCACAGAGGTGACTCTCGCTGCTGGCTGGGCACTACGGAGGTGTTAGGAGGACACAAAATTACTCCTGCTTCACTCAACCGGCAACTGTGCTTTAGAAAACACGAGCTGTTAGGCTGGTGCTGACACACACTCTCAAAAATAAAGGTTTCCAACCATATAGAAGAACCATTTTGGGTTCCTTCAAGAACCTTTCAATGACCAGTTCTAAAATGAACCATTTTTTTTTATCTAAAGAGCCTTTTGTGCACTGAAATGTTCTTCATTAATACCAAAAACTGTTATTTTTGTATTAAGAAAGGCGCACATGCACATGGGGTCAGGGTTTGGCTTGTGCAGCACTGGACTTTATTAACACAAAGTATTTGTATTCTAGCAATTATCAAAGTATTGCACTTCAGAACCAACCTATTAAACATTCTCTTTCTTCTTTAAAACATGATTAGGAATTTTAATGTATTAGCCACAACAAAGGCAATGTTTGGTGAACTAATTTATTACCTTGATTCGACATTAATTTATCAATTAGAAAATAACCAGCATTAAAGTCAACAAAAAACTCCATTTATATTTACATTTACTCTAGTGTTCAAAAATGTTTTGTATTTTTTAATGCATTTTTAAAATAGACTAACACTTGTATTCAACAATGTTATTTATAATGTTTCATATGTTACAAGAGATTTCTATTTTAAATAAATGCTGTTCTTTTGAACCTTATATTCATCAGAGAATCCTGACAAAAATGTATCGCCATTTCCACAAAAATATGAAGCAGCTCAACTGTTTTCAACATTGATAATAATCAGAAATGTTTCTTGAGCAGCAAATCAGCATATTAGAATGATTTCTGAAGAATCATGTGACGCTGAAGACTGCAGTAATGATGCTGAAAATTCAGCTTTGATCACAGAAATAAATTACATTTTACAATATATTCAAATAGAAAACAGTTATTTGAAATTGTAATAATATTTCACAATATTTTCGATCGAATAACTGCAGCCTTGGTGAACACTTGGTGAGACTTTTGAATGGTAGTGTATAAAATGTCTTGAATCTTATCAGTCAAGAAAGCAATGTTAGAAATTCTTGGTTAATATTACTTCTGGTCTATTTGTCATACTGCAGATTTTGGCACATCTACTGTATATATTCAGAAAGTCATATGCTATGCATTAAGATCTGGATTTCACTTGTCTGTGGATCTTAGGCTCAAAAATGAATGATTAATATTATTTTCCCCACACACCTGGAGAAACAAATGTCTTTTCACAGTCAGAGAAAGTTATTGCATTTTGATGAAAGACTATATAAACAAACATGCACTGATGAATCATGCATAATACGACCATGGATGTTCAATTCTGGTCAATTTTGATTTCATGTTACCTTTAAAAAATAGTTTTTATCAAAAATCCCCTGTCGCATTATCTCCCTTCCGCTGTTTTGTGAGTGTCAGCATTCATTTCCTTCTGTCTCCTGCCTAAACGCAACTGCCATTGTATTTATACACACAGGCGAGAGAAACTGAATCCCGTCCAGGGTTCGTGAGGCTCAACATGATAATACTAGTGCTAGGACGGAGATAGTGGAGTTCAGTGTGCATTCAGTGGTCTCTCTGTCTCTGATCTCCCCATCACGACATCAACCCGCGTCTGACCTTTGGGCCTCACCGGCGCGTCGAGTGGAACTCCATGCTGATACGCCAGCTGTTCAGAGCCTCAGCTGGCTCGCTTTGAGCTGCCATGCTGCATTGCACACCAGCCCTCCTGCCTGTGCTACACCGTCCGCCCCTGTGCCGCTCTCTCATGAGCTACTATCAACGCTCATCATCTTCAGTTTAGTTGAGTTATAAATATCATAGGACTAGTTCACCCAAAAATTTTCTGAAATTGTACTCACCCTCAGACATTTCATGATGTAGATGAATTTGTTTCTTCATCAGATTTGGAGAAATGTAGCATTACATCACTTGCTCAGCAATGGATGCTCTGCAGTGAATGGGTGCCGTCAGAATGAGAGTCCAAACAGCTGATAAAAACATCACAATAATCCACAAGTAATCCACACCACTCCAGTCCACCAGTTAACGTCTGGTGAAGTGAAAAGCTGTGTGTTTGTAATAATCAAATCCATGTGTTTAACTTCAAACCGCTGCTTCTATGGATCCATAATATTGTGTTTTCCCCATTGAAAAAAGTCTTGTCTGAATCAGGAGAGAAATCTGCACAGATCTGCACAGTGAAAACAATCCAAAACCGCTCTAAAGAAATATGTGGGTGGGTTTTGATGTGAGAGACAACAGGAGATGGACTTTTTCACTGGAGGAAGCGTTATTATGGATTATGGATTTTCGCCAAAAGCAACAGTTTAAAATTAAAACACCTTAATGACGGATTTGTTTCTTACAAACATGCAGTTTTTTGTTGCACAAGATGTTAGCTGATGGACTGGAGTGGTGTGGATTATTGTGATGTTTTTATCAGCTGTTTGGACTCTCATTCTGACGGCACCCATTCACTGCAGAGCATCCATTGGTGAGCAAGTGATGTAATGCTACATTTCTCCAAATCTGATGAAGAAACAAACTCATCTACATCTCAAATGGCCTGAGGATGAGTAAAATTTCAGGATTTTTTCATTTTGGTGTGAACTATTCCTTTAAGGAGCAGTGCTCAATCAAATTGACAACACTCGCCTATGGTGAGGGACACAACTGAAGCATTTGCTGTTTTAGTCCTCGAGCAAACAGTAAATTAAACTGACAGCCAGATGATTTTCACTAACATCAGTAAGAGACCTTGAGCTTTGCCAGACTGGCACCCATATGGCCGTGCACATGAAACGATTCACCAAAACAACTCATCACCTCAGCGAACAGAATCTTATACTTAATATTAGATATTTATATTTAATCATGGGGGAAAGAGCTTTTTCATTCAAAGCCCCCAAATTATGGAATGCATTTCCTTTTAATATCAGAAATGCACCAACCCTTGATCCCTTTAAAAAGCTGATTAAGATTTTAAATACTTATTTAAGTTTGTTTTTACTTGATTTTTGTCATTTGTATTATTCTTTTTGTGTTTCTGTTTTATTGTAGCGCTTTGGGTTTAAGAAAAGCACATTACAAATAAAATGAGGTATTATTATTAATCATAGGCCTAGCAAAAGTGCACCCAAAAATTAAAACTCTGTAATTTACTACTGTAATTTAATACTGTCATTTAAAATGATACTGTAAAAAGTGGTAACCTGCAACTATTTTTACCTGATTCAATCCATAATTATTTATTTATTTTTTGGTATAAATTAATGAATTTAGTTTGATTCATTGATGCTAAATAATTTTTTATTTTCCTTTTAAAAAATAATAAAGTGTAGTATACATTTTTTAATCTACAAAACATTTTAATTAATTGAAAAAATATTTTATGTATCATTTTATCATTCTTATTTAGTTTTATTTATTTATTTTATTATATTTTGAAAGTTTTAGCAGTTTTTGTCCATACAGTGGAACCATGTATGTAGTACGTTTTACAAGAAAATATTTCAGTCTTTCTGTGTATTATTTGTGAAATTTACTAACAATTTGTGACAACTGTTTCAAAGTAAATCTTACACCAGTTTTTTCAGTGTACATCAAAATATCACAATGCAAACCTCAAACCTCATTAGTTCTCGCCCAGTCACATGACAAAAAGACATACATTTTAGGCTATTCCTCACACAAAGCAGTCATATGACTTATTTAAAAGATATGAAATATAGCACAGACTACTTTTGCTATAGTTTGGCAGCATACGGTTTTATACATGAGGATTAGTCGATATTTCTTTTAGACTGATCAATTCCTTAAGGGCTTCAGAGGAGTCTCTATTATTCATTAACAGATTGTGAAGAAATCAGGGCGGCCTGCGGCGGTCCGACAGTCTCGCTCATCACAGAAACAGTCGATCTGCTGGGTTTCAGCTCGGTGGTCCCTCCACAACCTGTAGGCCACACTCACTCTGACTGAGATTAAATCACAATTATTGGTCTTCTCTGCCTAGTACTTATCACAGCCCTGCAGGGCAACGCAATAAACAGAGCCACAGCGCTCTCTCTGTAATCGCCACAGCCTCCTCTGAAATTAATGGATACGGTTGCCTGCTTTTACATAAAGAGCGGTAAATATTTAGGCTTCACCGCTGAAAGGTAATTCAAGTCGAAGCTTCCTAATGTACAGGCTTCAAAAAGACAGAAATGAGTTCGGTCAGTGGCTGCTCGATGTTTATGTAGCATCAAAGCGTGAGACCTCAGCAGAGGGTGAAGGGACACAAACAGTGCTGTATCTCGCCTGACTGAAAGCTCAGGTCCACGGCTTTCTAGAACATTCCTCTTCTGGAGCAACAGAAGAGACATGCTGAGAGACTCACATTATTCCTCTCTGTCATGAGCGAAATTAAGTGGAGTAATTGAATTTGAAGGTGGTCGTAGTCTATGGAAATTTGGCTACTATATCTGAAACCATTAAAAAAATGTACATGTAAGAATTAGATGTAATTACACCAGTAAATTTAAAGAATTATCTTATTATGAAATATAGCATACAAAATAAAAGTTTTTGTTTACATTATATATGTATGTGTACTGTGTTTATTTATTATGTATATAAATACACACACATACAGTATATATTTTGAAAATATTTACATGCTTATACATTTATAAATTCATTTTCTTATATTTTATATTATATATAAAAAATAATATATAAACATAACATATTTTTTCTTAAATATATACATGCATGTGTTTGTATTTTTATATACATGATAGATAGATAGATAGATAGATAGACAGACAGACAGACAGACAGACAGACAGACAGACAGACAGACAGACAGACAGACAGACAGACAGACAGATAGATAGATACAATAGATAGAATGAACGAATGACAGACAGACAGATGAATGGATATATAGATAGATAGATAGATAGATAGATAGATAGATAGATAGATAGATAGATAGATAGATAGATAGATAGATAGATAGAATATGGGCAGTTTATATAAATATAATTTTATAAAAATATAATTTTTAAATGTTCAGTTATTTCATGTATCTTAATGTTAAATATAGATATATACTGTATATATTTAAAAGTATGCAGTTGACATTAAATATTAAACATTTTAATATTAAACATTAATACATTTAAAACGTACAATTTAATATTAATAAAGATACATGGAATATTTGTATTTTTAAAAATGTATTGTTGCACCGAATGACCATTTAAAATTAACCAGTTAGGGGAAAAGGCGATTAAAATACTGGGAAATGATTTATATATACATATATATATAAAAGCAGCAATATGAGCAGCACCTTAAATATTCATGTAAACCGTAATCTAAAATCTTCATTCTGCTACAAAAAGCACATTATATCCTATAATAAAACAAGATTTGTTTGCTATACTAAAATCAGAAACTCATTAGAACAAAATATAATTATAATTTGCCTAACCATTTCCCCCATTATTAAATATAAGATTCATAAATAAAGTCAGCATTATTCTTATGCATATATGTATGTTATATATTATATTACATATATATACGTATATATTATATCTTATGATATAGGCTATGTATGTATGTCCTTTTCAAAATATGCACACCACCATAGTTCCAATTTTCTGATTCAACAGTTTGTTTTTGAGCAGAGAGAATCGAAAGAAAAATTCTCCATTTTAATCAAACTATTTTTGCTCCAGTCAATACAAGACGACAAAAGTAACCTTTTCTTGTTGCCCATCATGCATAAATCATTGTGACAGCTGGGAGAGGATGCCGAAATCTCTGGAACACACAACTAATCAATGCATTACATCAGTATGCACCAACACAACCACTAAACACGCGCACACACTCGATCCCTCATTTTAAAGACCGTAAACTGAACGCAACAGCACGTATGTGAAGTTTTCAGAAGCAACCTGTAGACTCACTCCAGCGCACATCGCACGAAGTTTGCAAACGGAAAAAAAATAGGCTATTTCTAATGTAGCCTATTACGCATAATGATTGCATGCTCAATATAGTCTAGCAGTTGTGCGACTGACTGAACACTCACCTCAGCAGCGTGTCAGTGAACGCGAGAGCTCGATCCGGAGGTGTTTGGGTAGATGGACGCGCGGCGCGTCTCCGGTTCGTCGCTTCAATCTCTCCTGTCATCGCTGTGGAAACGGCAGAGCTCTAGTTCAGCGAGTCAAGTGCAGTTCTGTGTTTCCACACGCACATTTGAGCGGAAGGGTCCTCGGGACATGAGTATTTCTCAGAGGAGGTGACCGTGAGTGTGAGTCATGGCGCCCCGCGCCGCGCCGCCTCCTTTACGCACAAACTTTGGTGCCGCTGCGCTCTGGGCTCGCAGATGTGGACGTGGCCATTGGCCAGCGATGGTACATCACCTCAAAGAAGAGTGAATCAGCTGCTGACGCGATTTCTGGTTAAAATAGCCTCCAACGTCTGGTGAAAATAGACATGAGAAGGGTGGTTACCCAAACTCCTCGAGGTGAACTGAACTGTGATCCTAAGCGAGAAACTTGCTAATGCACGAGTCATATTTAACCCCAAAATCAAAAAGAAATTATACTTCATTACAGTTAATGAAGACATGATTTGGAGGTGTGCTTAGTTCACACAAAATTGAAAACGTAATCATCCCCAGGCCATGCAAGATGTAGATGAGTTTGTTTCTCAAATCAAACAAATGCTGATTCATGCTGCCAAACTCTAAAAAATTCCGTACAAATTTCAAAACTGGTCTAAATGAATGAAAAATAGATTTCCCTCTGCAGTAACTCAAACTCAAATCTGATTGGCACCTGTTCAAAACATGCAAATGTGTTGGACATCATGATGATCATTTGAGACATGTTTGACATCATGTACATCAGCATATATATATATATATACACAGTATGAGAATGTGAGGTGAAAACATACCTTCAAAACTGTTATTGCACCATCTGGTCATACAGGAACTGATTTTAAACAAAAGACAATACATTAAAAGCTTGAAAAATCTATCAAGAAAACATAAAAACAGATAATAAGACCAGGAGAGAACATACAAATTAGCATTTTGCTCAGTTCAGTTTATTCTTAAGAGTCTGATGCTTGCTATAAGAATTCTGTATCTTAAGTAATCTGTTTTGTAGGTGATGCAATCGTGAAATGCAATTAAATGACTAATTAGGGTGCAAGAAACCTTCAAACGTCCAACAAAACTCACCTGTGAGAGTGTTCAATTCACAGTTATGTAGAGCTTTTCATAGCACAAATCGCTCCACATCAGCTTGACAAAGACTAGTGCCTTACAAAAGCCAAAGGCTTTTATGTGCAGCTGTTTAGAAATGCAGAAGATTAGAAAGAAACCAGCACAAAGTGCCTGCCGGACTGGCATAGTTACACTAATTCAAACAAACACAGAGACAAACATTTAAATATGAATCTTCTGATGTATGTGTACTGTTCTCTCACTAGCAGCTGTGAGGTGTCACCTTGTATTTAACGTAACCATTTCTGAATCTGCTTACAAAGTTTTATTGTATTGAATGTCACCTTTTGGATCAATATTTCAAGGAAGGCATTCTAAAATCATAAATAATTGATGTCTACAAATTTATGTCTGTTAAATAATTTACATGTCATCTAAGTAAACATTTAACTCCTGGCACAAAGCTTGCGGATATTTATATATTTTTTGTTTTCACTAATTTTAGTTACAGCTTTACTAATTTTATTGTGGTTTTGTCATATTAGATTTTTTAAATAGGTCTATATAATATGAATTACTGTTTAGGTATTAGTTTTAGCTTATTTACTTTTATTTACTTTAATACTTAAACCGAGAAATAAGAAATGTTTGATGGAATGGAATGTTTGAATACACGATGATACAAAGTTTCCTACAATTGTGATTCTTGTGTAAATACATTTCTGCTGCAAAAAGTCCAGGAGCTTGTAAGTCATTGCATGTAAACTGTTTTAGTTTGCATGCAATGATATATAAGTGGATAAACAGGCAAAATGTAACACTTATGATGTAAAAATAATAATTATTATTAACAATCCATAACACTGATTAAGATGGAAGCTGGAAGCATAAGAAATCAAGAGAACCCTTCATTGAATACTGAAAAATGATTCAACTTAATGAAAATGAGAAATGTTGAACTAGTTGAAATAAAATACTTATATGAAATAATTAATGAAAATGTTTGTTTTTTTATTTCATTTATTATTTGTGGTTTTCAGTTTAGTCAACCCTGGTGTATGGGATTTTTTGTGCCTATTTAATGTCTGTAAGTACACTGTAGTAATAGTCAGTGATGCTTTCGTTAGTAAACACCCCTAGTAATAGCGGGTGTCACCAGACCTATCCGTGTACTGGATTAAGAATCAGTCTACGCATGACCAGGCAGTCATTCTGAAATGTCTCATCGCTGTCGAGAGAAGCGGCGGTTGTGTACCTGAGCCACACAGATGCTGATAGCGTCAGTGATTAGCTGTCCACCCACTCCATCAGTCACTAAAGCTCTGTTCCAAAAACAAGTGAGCTGTCAATCTAGACATCACAGGTGCACTCTTGACAAGAAGACGGTTCCCACTGTCTCATTTTGGACATACTCTAAGAAAACAATGCATACATCATTCACAGAAAATCGAATTCCAATGCATTGTGATGAATTCAATCCATCTGAAAATGACTGACATATATGTATTACGCATTTTTACAAAATGATGAAACTTGTCTTACCACAGAGCAGCAGGTGTTGCCATTGCCATAACAAACACTGCATCTTGTTTTCTACTGGCTACATGAGAGTTCCAAAGAAATATTGTCACTTTGGAAAAAATTGATTGTTTGAATACATGAGACAATATTTCCCACAATTGTGATTCTTGTGTAAATACACTTCTGCTGCATAAAGTCCAGGAGCTTGTAAGTCATTGCATGCAAACTGTTTTAGTTTGCATGCAATGACATATAAGCGGAAAAACAGGCAAAATGCAACACTTACAATGTAAAAAAGGAAATAATAAATAACAATCCACAATGCATAAGAAATCAAGAGAACCCTTCATTGAATACTGAAAAGTAATTGATACATACTGTATTTGCCACAACTTGTGTTAGTTCAAAGCAGCTGGTGTTGTAGTCATTTGTGATTAGATTGCCATAACAAATGATGCATCTTTTTTTACTGGCTGCATGAGTATTCCCAAAAATATTAAGGCACTTTTTGTAAAAATAAAATAAAATAAAATGTGGTTCATGATAAAATAGGTAGTCCATTTAGTACATTTAGTCCAGCAGCATGCCAAGTCAATGTATGCAAACTTTGTTTGCATCAGTGTTATTTTAGGAACACTAATACAGAGTTCTGGCATGAAACTCTAGATGGCGCAGTCCGATAGGTCTAACTCAATCTGACCTAATGACATCATTATCACATGGCACAGCTGATTGGTTCTCTCCTGTATCGGTAGCCAATGAGTTCGCTGCTCAACATTCAAATATATGATTAGTGCTTGCAGTGCAGCTTGCTTCAGAAACCCTCCACCTTCCCCAGCTCCACCTGTACAGATCTGCTACGAGGTGATTCATGTATGCTATATGGGGGTTATTTCATGTATGTTATATTTGCAGCAGCAATATTTCTTACATGCTCACAGCAGCATGTTGTGGATGTATTGGCAGTAGAAATTCTCGGTACTTGCTCTACAGGAGCAGCAACGTAGCAGATCTATTCCGCCAAGACCAAATACATTAAAGGGGTGGTTCATTGCGATTTCACTTTTTAAACTTTAGTTAGTGTGTAATGTTGCTTTTTGAGCATAAACAATATCTGCAAAGTTACAAAGCTGAAAGTTCAATGCAAACGGAGATATCGTCTTTTAAAATTCTGGCAGTTTAATGCCTACAAAAATGGCTGGTAGGGACTACAACGAGTTACTTCCCAGGTTTGTGACATCACAAACCCAGATAAACCCTGCCCTCGGGAAAAGGCAGCAAAGGGGGCGAGGCCATGCTGCGCGGCTTTACAGAAGAGGACGAGAAAACTAGAGGTGCACGTAAAAATCTAGTCATATATGAATCGCGGTTCTGTCTTCTAAGGATTCTAATGGATTCACAAGTTTCAAAATCAATGTTCTAAAGCAGCAGTTCTTATTACTGTTCCTCGCGTTCCCCTGCTCTGCACATGCTCTGCATCTCTCTCTCTCTCTCTCTCACTCTCTCTCTCTCTCATTCAGCTCCGTCCCAACAATGAACTGTTCCAATTATACACTTATTTTCACATAGCTATGAGAAGCATTAAACAGGGACGCACATGCAGTTGCTGAACTGTATTAAAGCTTTAATCAGGATAAAACTGTATATTAAAAGCAAACATAAGCAGTAGCATTTACAAATAACAGCATATCTAAAAGTATGAGAGAACAACAAACAAAAAACATAGGCCTACCATTAAAAGCCATGCTTGCACAGGTTCTGCACGATCCTCTTACTTTTACATTACATTTACATTTAGTCATTTAGCAGACGCTTTTATCCAAAGAGACTTACAAATGAGGACAATAAAAGCAGTCAAAACTAACAAGAGAGCAACAATATATAAGTGCAAATGACAAGTCTCGGTTAGCCTAACATATATATATATTATGCACACACACATATACACAAACACACAAAGAAAAACAAGTAGATAGAATAGAAAAAATAGAAAGCTAGTGTTTTTTTGTTGTTTTTTTTAATAAAAATTAATAAGAAGATAAATATAGATAAAGTAGAATTAAAATAGAATAGAAAATGTTAGAGTTAGAGGGTCAAATAAAGGTGGAACAGATGTGTTTTTAGTCGTTTCTTGAAGATGGTTAAGGACTCAGCTGCTTGGATTGATTTGGGCAGATCATTCCACCAGGAGGGAACAGTTAATGAAAAAGTCAATGAGAGGGATTTTGTGCCTCTTTGAGATGGCACAATAATACGCCGTTCACTTGTAGAACGCAAGGTTCCAGAGGGCACATAACTCTGAAGTAATGAATTTAGGTAAATGGGTGCAGAGCCAGTGGTGGTTTTGTAGGCAAAAATTAATGCCTTGAATTTAATGCGAGCAGCTACTGGTAGCCAGTGCAAATTGATGAACAGAGGTGTGACATGTGTTCTTTTCAGCTCATTAAAGATTAATCTTGCAGCTGCATTTTGGATTAATTGTAGAGGTTTGAT